CAATGAGTGTAGTTTGTTCCATCTAATTTCATTATAATAGGCTATGATGATTCCAAGAGAGCTATGAGAGAAAAACAATTCAAAGCCAATACACTAATCAACCCATAATAAGCCAATAAATTGATTAACTTGTAAAGAGTGAAACAGACAAGCTAATTACATAGGTGAACAATCTAGAACAAAAAAAATATTTAGTCAAACATGTAGCCAATGAATAAAAGTAAGGAAAGACAAAAGCAATTCCAATTTCACCAAACCCAAGCTAAAGTCAATGGCACAAAAATCAATTACACTCAATTTCACAAAATGATAAAATAAAAAAATATATAAATGCAACAGCTGCTTATTAAGAGGAAAAAAAAGGTCAATCAATAGCAAATCAAAGTGACCTAAAACAAAAAAAAAAAAAAAAGTAGCAGTTATTGAAAGTTCTGATACCATAATGACTTGAAGAGTGAAAAATAATATTATTTCTAGAGTTGTAAAATACAAATATATATAAATGTATAAAGTAATTTAAAGTGCACGAGATATAATCAAAAATAAAATTTAATCTTATAAGTTAACTAAACTTAATATACATTTTAACAAAATTAAAGATTGTTTGCAACAAGTTCTTGGCTCAAATATGTGGATATAAAGGTATATAGAATATACCTCACCAACACTTGCTTTGGCTATCAGCAGCCTCACCCCAGCGTTTACTTTATCCTTGCCATCATTTGCAGGTTTCTTTCTTCTTCCACTTATTGTTAATTGCTTCACTGTTTTCATGGGGAAATTATTATAATCCATATTCCATTGTTTAAACTATTCATGACTTGTTTGCTTATGAGTTAGACTCACTTAATCTAAGAACTTATGCAATTCCTTCAGCTGATTCTTCAAGTAATGAGTGCATGGTGACTGATGAGTGCTCCAGCATTGGGGAAAAATAAAAGATTATCAAAATAAAGTACAGATAAATAAACATAAAAAAATAATCAAATGGGGAATAAGAAAATCAGAGTGCAAGTCAACATCATGCTCTAATATTATTAGTTTTGTTCTATAATTATATACATATTTTATTTTGCCTACTGGAATCAATTGGCATATAAAAACAAAGTAAATCAAATTATTTAGGGTCCCTTTGGTTGCGTTACATCGTGGAAGTCCAGTCATAAAACGCAGCTATGGTGTGCAGTGAGAGTTATCCCACAACGCATCCATTGGTGGTGCTGCATTCAAGCCAGAGGGGGCCATGGCCCCAACATTTTTGAAATATTGTATTTGGATATAATTTTAATTTACAAGATTTCTCAAATATAAAGATGGCCGCCTCAAAATAAATTTTTGTGATTAAAAAAGCTTAAATTTTAAGATAAAAAAAATTCAAGTCTCAAATCCTAATCAATTTGTAAAATGGATTAATATATAATAGTTTAATCCTCTTTTAAAAACTAAAAAATAAATAACTTTATTATTTTATATAATGAAATAAATTATTCGACTTTAATTTTCTTTAAATTATTTTATATATGTGATTGATTTAAATTTTTGCATTAGATAATGTTAAAATACCTAGTTAAACATGTATTTGATTATTGCAGTCTTATAAAAATATTATAACTTCACTTTATTGTTGTTTCTTTCTTCTTAAATAAATATTTTTGTACAAAATATTACTTAAAATTTAAAATAAATAAGTAATTAATAAAGTTCAAGTTTTGTTTATTATTTTAGATTAACTTGTGAAGAAAGATTAAATTAGGGTTTTTTTTTTTTATGTTGATTGATCTTTTGGGCCTCTTTTTATTTTTACTACACCATTTAAAAAATATTTTTTAGTGATAAAAATTGTTAAAACAAAACTTTATAACAAATTTGAGAAGAGTTTCTTGAAGATAATCTTGTACTATAATTAAAAAAAATTAATGAAACTTTCGACTCAAATGATTTTTTCATGAAATATCATCACGCATAATTTTAAATAAAAGAATTTAACTTTGCTTCAGTTTTAGTAGTTATAAAATTTTTTAATCTAAGTTGTAACTAGTTTTGCTGTAAATCCATTGCCATAATCATTGAGATAATTTCCCAGTCCTTTTTTCACTTATTTGGGTGATGGAAAATCTAGAATTGAGAAGCTCAAGCACTCAAGCTAAAATCATTGGCACCATAGCATCAATATCAGGTGCATTAGTGATTGTTTTGTACAAGGGCCCCAAAGTGTTTTCCTCTCCCACTTTGACACTATCATCTGTTTCACACTGGCCTCCTGGTGTGGAGGGTTCCTCAGAATCAAATTGGGCCGTTGGTGGCCTCCAAGTTGCTGTTCAGTGTCTGCTGTCTCCCATCTGGTACATTATTTAGCTAACCAATGCTATGCAAAATTTTCAATTTGATTATGAGCCATTTTAAAACACTAAACTTGAATCGATTGGCCATCTGCAGACAGAAGTTACGAACATGTACCTGGCAGAGCTGATCGTAGTCTTGCTTTACAACTTATGTGGAACCATTATCTCTGCACCTGTATGCTTATTAGCAGAATTCAACTTGAGTTCTTGGAGACTAAGTTCTAACATAGCAATAGTTGCAGTTGTATACTCCGTAAGAATTTAATATCCAATGAAAAAAAAATCAATTGAAAGCAGGCAATTGGCAGCGTCTAAATGAGATTTCAATACTGTTTTATAGGGATTTACTGGGACATCCCTTACCACTCTTGTGCACACATGGGGCCTCCACATTAAGGGTCTTGTGTATGTAGCACTTTTCAAGCCATTGTCCATCGCCATTGCAGCTGTTCCGAGCACCATATTCCTTGGGGATGCTCTCCATCTTGGGAGGTACTAAAGTTCTCTCCTTATCTCAGTAGAACAATTTAAGTAGTCATTCATTTTATGATAAGTTGAGACTAAACTGAACTTAAATTTTGCAGTGCCATTGGATCAGTGATATTATCTGTCGGGTTTTATGGTGTTATATGGGGAAAAGCAAAAGAAAAAATGGGTGATGACTGCAACTCCGAGTCCCCATTGTTGCCACGTCAAAAAATCGAAGATGTGTAGTACAAAGCTATACTCATCAACAAGTTAAATGTTAATGCTCTTTACCCAGACATTAATCCATTCAAAGCAAGTCTAAGCTCATGAGTAATCCAAGTTGTTTCCCAATAAAGCTGAAGAACTGAAGCAGTGTCTGGATTATGAGTCAAAAAATTAAGTCATTCCTTGATACTGCAACTCATTGTTATTTCAGAGCAAGCAGAACGAAGAATTTGCCTTCAAACTTAAATCCTCCAAATGCAATTGCATGTCATTTCTAGATTATCAAATAATTTGTGACATTTAATATTCCAACAATGACAACATGGGTCAGATTGCTTGATCATTGCAACCTCGTATGTTTCAAGGACAAGGGTGAGGCTAGCAAGTAACCTGGTCGGCCATTGGACTGTTGGACTTGTAATTTTGGGTTCGGGCATTGAAGTCTTTGCAAAAGAACATCAGCTTCAACTCATATTGTCCAACTTCTCCACCCACCAGGGGCCCCTAGTTGACTCGGCTCACAGGGGTTTGGATGATCTTTCAGAGTTGACTTGGATTGGGCTGTTTTGCTTGGCTTTAGTTTGGGCAATGGCTTGGTAACACTTGGGTTCCTTGAGCCTTTGTAATTTTTTAGCCCATTGATATGTTGAAAAATTCTACAAATAAATTCCACATCTTTACCATATCCTCAAGATGAGTAAAGAATCAAATGTGTTGAATTTCTTTTTTTTTTCCAAATTATCATGTCATCTATTTGACTAATTCTTTTATTAAAAAATGTATAATAACACAAAATATTAACAAAGGGATTTTTTTTTTGGTATAAAGATAAAGTATTGTAAAAAAAAAATTACAAATGTTAAAATTTAAAATTTTAATCTTTAAATGTCATTGAATAATAATATTAATCTAATTTGGTTAAGAAAATTATTTTAAGCGTCCCAAGGAATGAAGTGAAGTCTTTTAAAAAAAAAAAAAGAAAAAGAAGTGTGGATTCATGAAATGTCTTATTCAAAGGGAGTGTGTGGAAAGCACGTTCCTCTCTTAAAAATAGCAGCCGGTGGAAATGGAGATTCGAAAACCGATTCCCCTTTAAATGATGTCGTCCCGACTACCTTTTGCTTTGGCTTTTGGCTCCCGCCAGCAGGCTGCCCCCGTTGAATTGCCCATTTTCTTTATCTAAAACTTATAAGCGATGAGATTTATTTTAATAAAATTAAAATAATAATAATAATAATTATTATAATTATGATTAAAAAATTAATAAAAATTTATGTTAAATTAATCTTGTTAGAATTAATATTTAAATTCAACTAATAATAATTAAAATTTAATTATACTTCCTTAAAAGTATAATTGTATCCAAACGTCCACATAATCTATATTATAAATTATTATATCCACGGTGATTTCAGTTAGAGGTCATGATAATAAAAAAAAATTATAAATTATAAATTTTATATTAAAAAGTTATTTTTAAAAATAATTATATAAATGAATTAAACTATATTTTAAATTTAATGTTTTTATTTTTAAATGTCAATATATCTCTAACAAAGACTAATCTTTGGATATTATAATATAAATATTTATAATAAATTATGGTAAGTCCAATGATGAAAAATGATATCCTAAATTATTTGATGAAAGAAAAGAAACATTCACGTCATAAACCCCATTTATTATTCTTATAACACCAATAACAATAACAACATCAATTTTTTTTTGTAAAAAAAAAAAATTAAGAGTAAACTCATAAAAGAACTTATAAAATTTTTTTAAAATTTTTTTTTAAATTTACAAATCTCTTATCAATATCATCAATTGCACCTCCACAATGCAAACAAAAATAGAAAAAATTGTCTCATGCTAAGTCTTTCCTTTGCTTGTCAAATGAGAAAACGAAAGGGATCAATAATTAAAGCACATGGGAAATCACATGTTATAAAGTAACCAATCAGCAATTCCTATTAAAACTATTGGTCTAGTCACCCCTCACCAATAACAGTTCCTTACAAGTTTGACAAAAAACCATTTTAAGTTTACAGGTTTTGATTTCTGTTTGTTTTGAGAGAAACTGAGAGAAAAGAAAAGATGGAGTGGAGATGGAGATGGAATTACTGTTACAAGGATGTTCTGCCATTCACAGCTATGGTGACAATGGAGTGTGTAAACGTGGGGCTAAACACACTTTTCAAAGCAGCTACTATGAAGGGCATGAGCTACCATGTTTTTATTGTCTATGCTTATGCCATAGCTGCTCTTGTTCTCCTTCCTGCTCCTTTCTTCTCCTACAGGTTCTTCCTTTCTCAACTTGTCTGTCAGTTCTAGTGGCCATGCAAACCGAAAAAGTTTCATTTCTGATTGTTTTACTTTAGTTTCTTGCAGATCAAGAGTGCTTCCTCCACTCAGCTTCCCTGTACTATGCAAGATTGGACTTCTAGGACTTATAGGGTAACTTTGTTTGATTCATACAGTTCTGATGATTTCAAGAACAAGAGAAATGATTTTAGCAGATTTATCCTTAATACTTTTGCTTCATTTCAAGAAAATTTTTTGTTAATTTCTCTTGATTAGAGTTCTTTTCTTAATTGTTTTGAAACTGGATCAGGGGTTCATCTCAGATCGTGGGGTATACAGGCATCAATTATAGCTCTCCAACTCTTGCTTCTGCAATCAGCAGCCTCACACCAGCTTTTACCTTCATCCTAGCTATCATTTTCAGGTAATTTTTTTGTTCCCCCTTCAATTACCAAAGCACCCTTTATTGGACAAAATTCAATAGATTTGCTTTCAGATAAAGTTGGAGTGGCAGTTACATTCCTTTTGGTCAGAGTTTAGAACCGAGTATCATCAGTTAATTCTGTCCATTGGATTATGTCTTTAGGTTGTAACTTGTAAGATGCTTTTCTTTTTGCTTTTGGGTGGTAATTGGGGTTCCCTTTGGCAGTGTTTCCTAAGGAAATTCTGTACTGTGGGGTAAGATTGAGCAAGCACATATGAGACTCTGGGCCCAACACAATGTGAGTGCATGGACATTTGCTTAATTTGATGAATTTTAGGCATAAACCTCACCATTTCACAGCCAAAAAAGAAGAATAACGAGGCAAGTATTTTATCAGTGTAGTTGAGTGGCTAACAACGTCTTTATGGTTCTAGTGGGCAAGTACTTTTCTTCCGAGGACCACAGTTCTTCTTGTATTATTCCCTGATCTTAGACTGTACTTTCATTAATTCTGATATATATATTTTCCATTTCTTTTCTTGCATCTTGAAAGAATGGAGAAGCTATATTGGAAAAGAACAAGCAGTCAGGCTAAAGTCATGGGCACCATAATAGCAATTATTGGTGCATTTGTGGTGACTCTTTATAGGGGCCCGGCAATAGTCATAGTCTCGTCGCGTTCCATGTCACTTCAACAGCCTCTAAACTCGTCAAAAACAAATTTGGTTTCTGGCGGACTTCACTCAGCAAGCCCGAATTGGGTTATCGGTGGTGCTTTTCTCACTGCTGAGTATATCCTGGTTCCACTCTGGTACATTGTTCAGGTTAGATTCTCGTTACAAATTACAAACATTTCCCATATTTACTTGAATGGTGCCATTGCCGGAAATTCGAAGAAACAAATCGATTCTGTATTGTTTTGCAGACACAAATCATGAAGGAGTATCCGGCAGAACTAACTGTTGTCTTCTTTTACAATTTAAGTGTTAGCTTCATAGCTGCAATTGTTGGTTTAGCTACAGAGAGGAATGCAAGTGCCTGGAGAATAAGGCCAGATATAGCATTAGCCTCGGTTGTTTGCTCTGTAAGAAACTAGTGCCACTGCCAACCACAGAAGTAAATTGTAGTCTTTGAATTTCACATCTCAATGTTTTGCCTATATTCTCTGTTTAGGGACTCTTTGGTTCTTGCTTGATCAATGTCATCCATACATGGGCTCTGCGCTTGAAGGGACCTGTTTTCGTGGCAATGTTTAAGCCATTGTCGATTGCTATTGCTGTTGCCATGGGTGTCATGTTCCTAGGTGTTGCTCTCCATCTTGGGAGGTATAAATGATGCAGTGCTTTTGTTGTGGCATTATGGTTAATTTTACCTGTTTGTGGTTTAGCTAATGGACTGGTTTCCTTTTATCCTTTTGCAGTCTCATTGGAGCAACAATAATATCGATCGGATTTTATACAGTGATGTGGGGAAAAGCAAAAGAAGAAATGGCTGACGACTGTGGCAATGGCACCACCATGGATCCACCATCTTCCTACCAGGTCCCCCTGCTTCAAAGCTATAAAAATGAAGAGGTGTAGAAACAAACACATACATATGAATGCAAAATCAAATTCACATATGGAAAATAGCAGCAGTCAGACCATTTGAGACTGATAACATTCCCAGTGCTGAAGGTTTACGAAGTTTTCTTGAGAGCTTGGCCTCACCCATTTCAGCCCATGTCAACTCCATCTACACCTGCAAAAGGGTTTCTGATATGCAGATATTGAGGCTCAAGTAAATTGTTAACAGAAAACAGATGATACAACCCGAGAAGGATTTATACAAGGGCAGCGCCCACTAAATTTAAGAATAGTTTTAATTTTGCTCTCACAAATATAATTGAAGTCTTTAATTTAAATTTGATTTGTGTTAATTTTATATAACTAACAAACTTTTTTTTTTAAGAAAATTTTCCGGAGCAGGTCTAGTGAAAATGACCTTCATCTCTCTACTTCCTTCCGATATAAACTCAAACCATCTTACAGCTACCCAGACATAACTACGCCCTGCAAAATGAACAGGCAAAACTTAACAATATGCCCTCCCACTTGTATTGGCAAATGTAACTCAATTATGTTTGTACCACATTCATAAGGAGACATGCAAAATTAGGATCACATGGATTATCTTCTGGCGTTTCCCCTCAACCTTCTCTCAAGTCTTGAGATCGTCAGACATTGCAGAAGATATACAATGTGTGGTTAGGATATCTAAAGTTGCAGCCTTTGCAGCCTTGGTTTGTAGCACTACTATCTACATGACAAAGTTGAGAATCAGCTAAACCAAAAATATACGTATTTTGTGTAAGTGCATGAGATAGATAGAGAGAACCTGCTGATATTCCAGGTCAAATCTTAAATATTCATCATTGCAGTTATCGACCATATTGGCTAAGCTCTTTAGATTCTTCACGGGTTTGCCATTGAAAGCAAGAACCTAGATAAAAGAAATTAAAAGAAAATTGTTAACATGTGTTCTTTAAAGTTTTGAGATACTTTACATCATCAGCAATGTCATGAAACACTCCCAGACCTGAGTATTGACGATTTCCTCATATCCAATATTTATGTCAGCCACAAGCACCTGAGAATACAGAAAAAGATTGTAAGCAATAAGGTCTAAAATGCATGAATAAGAAGAAAATCAAATCATGGTGTTGCACGAGATTGCAAATTCATCATGTAATTATGCATAAACAATATCTTGGAATGAAAAACATGAGAACGACAGATACCTGTGAAACAACAAGAAGCTGTTCATCTATAGACTCTGCCATTGCATGTAGATGCTTATCCAATAGTTTGACTGGCGCATCAAATTCATAATCCTTCCCATACTTTAGAGAGAGAAACTGGGAAGTTAGAAATAAGCAAAGACCACTCAAAAAGCAAATCATAAAAGACTTAACCAGTCTTCAGCATACACTCATGAAGAAAGCCTCACGGTATTTGCAACAGTGGATGATGATGAACAAATGAAATATGTTTTAGACCCCAAAAATGGGAATCTATAGCTATGAGACAATAAACAAAGTTGATACAGGACAAGCAACTTCACAACTCAATTTCCATAAAATCTGTATAATTATATAACCAAAAGCCTCCTAAAACAATTACAACTTAGGTATTTATAACTAAACATAAACCATAAAAACGTAAAGTACCAATTAAACCCTATAGCCTTAATTTGTAAAATACTAATAAATATAAAATGACCTAAATAATCTAAAATAGACTAACTAAACATAAAGATTATAAGCAAGGCAGACCTCAAAGTAGAACAATTCTACATTTAATTGCTCTTGAATTTTTCAGAAGGAATGGATAACCACCCACTAAGGCAGACCTCAAACTTCACTAATGGGGCCCTTTTTTCTAGTAATCAAGTTTCTCAATAATGCAAAAAAGACAAGAAACAATAAAACTAAAACAAAGAGTAACTAAAGAGTTTGTTATGCATTTAAACAATTACCAATAATTGCCGTAACAAGTTTGAGAAAGGAAACACACACATACAGAGAGAGACAGAGAGAGAGATCACTACACACCTCCGATCGCAAGTATGGAACAGTTACAGCTGTAAAAACAAATCCAGCAATAATGTAATAAGAAGGAGTTTTCCCACTGGTGTGTGCTGGGATGAGCCTCTTGTGAGTAGCTAGTTTTATGTCAAATGCAAGTATCTTCGAATCACGGAGAACTTTAACGGATGCGGTATCCCCAGTATACTTCTGAGAAACAAGATAGCTGAAACCTATGCGCTCCCCATGCCTGAATGGAACTGTTTTTTTCCCCACGTCATTGAAAAATGAAAAAGTCAAAAAGAGAAAGAATAGGTCAGGAGAATGTTCCCCCACATAAATTAGAACAGTACTGCCACAAAACTTGAATGAACTAAAAGTTAACAGACAACTGGAGTCAAACATGTGAGAGTCATCTAGTAGACTTTAGACTTTGTAGTCAAAAGTGAGTTGGCCAAGTATTATACAACAACCATCACTCAGCCACAGCCACAGATGATGAAAAAGTAACTAAATCCCCAACTGAAAAAACTTTCATATGTACAGAAAACAGCAAAACTCCAGACTACCTAACAAAATTGAGCAACGAATTGAATACCAAAAGAGACAGAATGAATAATTCATTTTTTTTCTTTTGCATTGGAGGCTCTATTCTGGTTCTATTTTTTAAACTCTTCTGGGCCAAAATCATATGGGCCATGATTGCTAAGGAAATCTCTCCTGTTCAAGGTTAAAAAAACTTTTAAGCACTAAGTCATTATAAGACACCATATCTATTATACATTAACACTACCACCACTATAAATGAACACTGCATTTAAAATCTAGTTCCCATAAATGAACCCCTGATTAAACTAAACACCATCTCCTTAGCACATTTTCATGTAAGCTAAGCAACCACAGCTAAATCATCATTCTCAGCTCAAAAGGACATCCTATGGAAACATCTGCATCTAATCTTCACCAAATATAAAAACAATACTTCACATTTTCAATTGTTAGCTCAAGAAAGAAGCAAAAATAGACTCCAAGAATAGTCTAGTGATGAAGCAAAATATGCATATGTGCATAATCATGTCATGCATACATACATTCATAGGTGAAAGTTTTAATGAAGAATATAACGGTATGAGATGAATCCTACTAATATAAAGGGGGAAGAGGGGAGTAGCTTACCTGTCCCATCATTAGCAACTTTTACCCCATCAAAACTAAGTATAATATCAGATGGCTTCAGAAGATGAGATTCTGGAGCTGTGGGCTCGATTCTCCTAATACGGACCCCCTTCTGATCTGATTTCATCCCCATTGCCAAGCGCAAATCAGGATTTTCCATCTTTTGCCACTCAACACCAAGGATTGGGAAGCCTGAAACAGAAATGATGAGCAGGACAGAAGTAAGAATTCAAGCACAATTCCAGAAATATAATTAAAGTCAAACCACTTTCTAATTCCAAAACCAACCAGGCAGAAAAAGAGCCAAGAATGATAACTGGACTGAACTTAATAAAATAGTACTGCTTGGAAAAATACCTGTATACATCCCATTTTTTTCATAATCCTGAATGAAGTGCATTATAACTGGTGTAGGTATGACATACCCAATATTTTCCACATCTTCATGTTTCAAAGATTGGAATGCAATACCAACACATTTTTCCTTGTCATTGAAGGCAGGCCCACCAGAATTTCCGGAGTTTATAGCTGCATCTATCTGCAAAACAATATCAATTGCAAGAGGTCGATAAACATATGAAGCAAACATGTTGAACTGCCAGAAGCTGGAACTAATTCCACAACCTGTAGTCCCAGAAGCTCAGTTGACCCATGAACATAAGAGAGTATCTCAATACGTGATACAACACCACTAGTAACAGAGATTGTGTCACCTCCAATTGGATAGCCCACAACAGTTACAGCATCTTGGAGTGCAGGAAAATCTCCAAACTCAACAGGTGAAACACCTTCCCAGAACTCATCATCACTAACTGTTAACATTGCTGTAGCATCCCAAAACAAGAGAAATTTATTAATCAATCAACTCAAACATTTCTCTTCGTTAATCAATAGCCATTTTCATACAATCAAATCGCATTAATCATGTTTCTATTAGAAAGACAAGTAGCCCTCTGTTCATAACAAAGCAGCATCATAAATTCAGAAAACAAGTTAGCATAAGCTATTTCCCCATTTACCTGTTTCAATGCCAAAGATCACTGCAATTTACTCTAAACATAGAAATATTAACCCATGGTCTAAAACAAGCAAAATCAATCATTTATGCTCTGCCCATTTCAATCAACTGGCGGTGATTGGAGCTTAACAGCACCTCACTGGAGGTGCAGTTGCATCCAAACGCCCACTCAATCAGCCATCTCTCATCTTTTCCTCGATTCAAACTACCCCTAATTTTCCTCGAATCTCTTCATTTCTGATTTTGTCTCTTTTAGTCTTATATCTAAGCATCATCAACACGAATTTGCACCAAAAAAAAAACCCTCCAACTTTCATACCCTTACCCTGTCTCTCAACACAAATAGCCCTTACCGTTTTCTACCCGTTTCAGTTATCTTAGAATCAAACCACTTAACTTCCTCCAAACCCAAAGACAATCCCAAAAATTGAAAATTCCCACATAACTACTTCAGAAAACACTGAATAAAAAATCAAAACTTTAGCTTACCAATATCACATTCAGTCCCAATAGCCAATACAGTAGCCAAGTACTTTGTATCAGACCCCCTTTTCTTCAACTTCACTTGAGTATAATGTTCCACTGAATGAGCATTTGTTAACACTCTTTTCCCACCAATTATAAACCCACTGCTACTTGAAGAATACTGCCTTTTCCTTTGCCATGGCAGCGAATAATTCGGCTCCGTGTGAACGCAAAACACTTTCACTACGGCATCCATCGCTGGCACCACCCTCGCCGCCACGCTCTCCCACTTCGTCACCGGCTGCGGAGGCGGCTCCAATACCACCGCCCCATTTTGATAAGGTCTCCGCTCCGGGGACGCTGCCACATGCGGGTCCGTGTCCTCCGTGTGCCCCGCACCAGACTTCCTCGGCCGCCCTCTAACTCGTCGTGCCAGTGGTGGGTTGTTGGCGTCATTGTTGGCGGTGGCGTTCGAGACAGCTTCATTTGCAGCAACAAAGACGTCGTTTTGGGGGGCAACGGCGTCGTTTTGGGGAGCAACGGCGTCGTTTTGGGCGGCGGCCGTGTATTGGAAGTCCATGGTTTCGTTGGTTGATGCTTGGGTTTTCGCTGTCCTGCCTCGTTTCCTTGTTTCCCCCATTAGGCTTTTTCTTTTAGGGGTTTTAGGGTTTTTCAAATTAGGGTTTTTGATTTGAAGATTGTTAACTTCGGGTATGAGGAATGGGGATTCTTTGCTTTCTTGCTTTTGCTTTTGCTTTCGGCCTCTTTCTATGAAACAGAGGCAAATCGGTAGGGAAATGAAAATTCCGAATGGTTGGTACAGAAGGAGAATTTGGGCTTTCAATAGACTGAAAATACCCCTTTCAGCCCAATAATATATACTTGTTCAAATTGGGCCAATTGGTCTTTTAATGGACTAAAACATGGGCCTTTAGCCCAAATAAAACCTAAGTGAAATTCTATTCACACCCCCTCACTTTTTTTTTTAATTTTTTGTAAATAAAATTATTTAAATATCTTTCTCTTTCAAATATTTATTTTCAAAAAATTATTATAAGAAAATTATTTAAATAATTTAACTTAAAATTTTTTTAAAAAAAATGAAATGTAAAAGGAAATAATCTAAAGTGCATTTAGTCCCTCACTTTACCTAATTTCAATAGCAATATATATTTCTTGAAATTTTATTCCAAAAATATTAAAAATGATTATAATATAAACGTAAATTTTGAATAGTATATGAGAACATATTAGTACTATTAATTGTGTGTAATTTGTAGCTTTTATATGTAATATGCTACTAATATTATATAATGTATTTTATTATAAATGCTATATATTCATAATTATATTATATATTTTGATATTACTTAATTATTTATCAACAACACTTAAAGAAATAACTATGTTATTCAAATTTTAAGTGAGTATTATTTATCAAGAAAAATTATTAATAGAATTTTTAAGGTGACATATATGGTTAGAGTATAATACAAAAAATAAAACATGTGAAAATTTTTTAATTTTTTAATTTAATTTCATTTATAAAATTAAAAAATTATAACCTTTTTTAGTAATTAAAATTGGTTTTTTATTTTAAAATAACATGTAATGATAAAATTGAAATTAAAAAATTCATAAAAAAATTCCACTGTAAAGTCAAAGTAAAATTTATTACTACTACTAAAATAAACTAAAATGGAAGCTCCAAGGTTCAGCAGGAACTTCTTGACTTGACTGATACAGTGACACTTTCCAGTTCGGAATTTTGTAAGAAAAGCTACCAACTTATAACTTATAATTAAAAGTGTTTGGTATAACCCCAAAAAGGAAAAAAAAATTTTAAAATTTGTTGTCAAAAAAGAGTAATGGAAAATCGTTACCATCTTTTTTGTTTCCTTTTCCTTTAAATTTCTCTTTAATTTTCACTGTGAAATTGCCAAAGAAAATCAGATTCCACTCTCCAAAAGCCAAAATCCCCATACAAATTGCCAAGTTCCTCTGTTTATTATCTGGCTCTTTGAGAGAACCGAAAAAAATCCTTTTTTTTCTCTCAATTTCTCTTCTTCTTTGGCCTTTGCAACACCAAATCTAATATGGCTATCTTTCATTTCCCATGTTCTTTCTAGGGCTTTGAATTTTTCCCTTTTGTGGTCACTTCCAGTTCTTCTTCAAGTTCCAATTTTCATCATCTGGGTACTCTTAGATCTCCCTTTTAAAGTTTGGGTTCCTTTTGTTTTCTTCGAAGCTTCAATGTCACAAGGTTTTTCAATTGAGCTTTACTTTGATCCAGCTCTTGAAAACCAAGTTTTGAAAGCTTGGAATGTTTTGGCTCGTCGTCAAATCAGCACCCATTTAATTGAAATTGAGTCAAGGCCTCACGTTACTCTCTTTTCAAGCCCTTTTCTTGACCCTTCCAGGCTTGAACCTGTTTTAAAGAACTTTGCTTCAAAGCAAGGACCTTTAGCTCTATCTTTTTCTTCAATTGGGACTTTTCCGAATGAAAAAAATTTTCTTTTTCTTGCACCAGCTCCAACAATGGCCCTCCTACAGTTCCAGGCTCAGTTATGTGAGGCTGTTAAAAAGGAAGGGATTGAAATTGGAGAAGAGTTTAAAGCTGACGCTTGGATTCCTTATTGTCCTGTAGCTCAGGAAGTGCCAAAAACAAGAATGGCTGAGGCTTTTTCTGTGTTGAGAGAGTTGAAGTTGCCTGTCTCTGGATATGCAATTGATATTGGGTTGGTGGAGTTTTCACCTGTTCGTGAACATTTCTCATTTGAACTTGGGAATACCGTAGAGGCATGAGATTTGGAGGGGTCGTTATGACAGTGTTAGTTTTTGCTTTTTGTTACAATTCCAAAATGTGTTTTACATGATGTGTTGCTAATGTAGGTTTTATAATTAGCAGTGGATGATGGATTCTTAGTTGCAACTTAATATGTTGTTTCACAGGTCAATTTGAAGTTTACTTTTTTATCATATCTTTTTCTTGCCTGCATTTTTTGTTGAGAGTATGTTTTTAACATTACATAACCAGATTCTCTATTGAATGAGGTTAAATATTGGATTGACTCAAACCTTTTATCAATTGAATTGTGGAAATTGTAAAGAATCTCACTAATGTAATGAGTTTTTAGTTGTTACTTTTGCATGTAATCTCTTGTATGTTAGTCTGACTTTGAACATTTATGAGGATATGTTTTACCATGATATGACCAGATTCAATATTGAATGGGGAGAAAATATGTTGGATTGGTTCAAACCTTTTTTCAATCTGCTACCTTAGTTTGGATGTCTGGAAAGATGTTATTGGTATATATATTGAGTTCACCATACATTATGATTTGGATTTTGGAAGTTCTAAAGAGCAGATTGCCAAGTTTTCTGTCCGTGTAATGAGATTTTAGTTGCTACGACTGCTGCTAATCTCTTGTATGTTAGTTTTGACTTCCTTAATAAGCAAATGGAATTTGATTAAGTTACTTACCATTTGATAATCATAATAAAATGGCAGTTTTACTGCTGCAACTAAATGCTAAAGTATTTAACCAAATCTTTAAAAATAATCCTGTGTTCTACTTAGCAGTATTCTTGTTTTACATACCTTCTTATGTTGTTTATTTCTGCTAGTGTATTAATGAGATTTTGTTCAGGGTCACCGTTTTCTATACTTTTTGCCTTGACCTATTTGGTCTTTGCATTATATATCTTGGAAGTGGTTAATTTGACTAGTGTTTGTTAATATAATCTTCTTGATTAGGTTCATGCTAAGCGAATTTGATGACCCTTCCTACTCATGCAGTCAAAATAGGAATCCACTGTAATTGGCTTGGGTTGCTTAAGAGTTTTCCAGCCTGATATTTAGCATTATGAATTGGTGATTTGACCAGATTGCATCCGGTCTACTGCTTTTTGCAGCTTAGATTAGAATTCTGACCTTTAGAATATTGACCATGTCTATATTACTTCTCTACCAATTCAGTAATCAGTTTTTATCATTCATACATGTTAGTAGTTGAATAGTCTATGTCATCACTATGTCTTTTGTCAACAGTGGTCCCATGTTGATAAAGCCTTTTATTTGGCCAAGCAAAGAAGATAAAGCCTAATTGACGATAATAACTAGGATATGCAATGGTAGGATCTTTTCTTACGAGATTTGATGCAGGGCTTTTTAACCTTGTTCAATATTTATTAAATTTAGTTTTGAATGGAGTTTAATTTCTGGGGTAGAGTAGTGATGGTATGACTAGTTGGCTACATCCACTCTCACTATGTGTTTAAAACACTCTTTTATTGAATGCATGAGCTGAATTTACTCTTTTGTCAAAAACATTAGTCTTACAAATTATTTGCTGTATTTGATTGGATTGTTATGATTGTATTTGTCATATGCAAGCAATTTACTACGTTACTTGCTGTTTCTGGATACCATTTTTAGAACCAGACTGTCTGATTTACAGAGATTGTAGTTCCACTCCATCGTGAAGTGTTCATGGGGTAGAGATTCAAGCCTTTCACAATAGCATTTAGCAAGGATACCCTTCTTTCATTGCAAGATTTCGGTATTGTTTTGGTATGTCTTGCATTTCCATGATTGATTAAAGAAAGAGTTGAGTGTTCCTTACTCTTTAGTTCTCCCTTGTCCTTGAATGTTTTTGTAATTCGATTCTTTTCCCACAGCATCTTGGATGAGGACCACCTTGACTTTCTTTCTTTTGTTTTTGGGGGTTTCTGTTATCATCATTTTCAAGTTCCTTGCCTGTCTTGTCTTTATGAAACTGGAATAATGCCCCACCATGTTTGCACATGAGTTGCCATTGGTTTTGTCATTGGACTATCATTTCCAGGTTCCATCCAGCTAGTTGGAGATTTTAACAAGAAATCCACTTTGTGATCAATGACCATACGTTTTCTTGGCCAGCATTTCAAATTCCACATATTCGTTTCCCTCTTCTTAGGGGGCCCCAGCACAATGGAGAACCAAGAAAAAAAAAAAAAAAAAAACTCTTTAGTTTGGTATGCCTGCGGAACGTGAAATTTCATCAAGTGGGAAAAGTTCCACCATCGTTTGAAGTTTATAGTTTTCTCTCTCAGGGTTGGATATTGCTTCTTCCGTTATCATAGAACACGAAAGTATGAGTTTGCAACAATCTCTTCTTCTGTGTTGACCATCATTAGTGTTAATATTAAGCAATGGAGGATCAATGATATTTGATATTACATTACAACGAAAATTTATGTTAATTTATTGTGTTAACAATCAAAAAAAAAAAAAATTGCATCTGTTGGCCATAAAAAATATATATGCCCAGGGGAAGAAAAAATGAGGACAATTATTAAGATGTAAATATGTATGGTATATGATTCTAACTAATTCAACCTGGCCATTTACTAAGAAACTAATGCAGCTTCTCTTCTCAGAACAGCCATCAGAAAATCATTCCATACGTCGATCGGACCCGGCAGGCACCAGTGAACACAGTCATTATAACCCTTCATCCATTTGTTTCCCCAGAATTCACCAGGGTGCCCATCAGGTCTCATGAGCATGGCCCTGGTGACATCCAAAACTCCAAACCTCTTCCCTTTCTTTTCTCCTTGAATTCTTGCCTTTTCGATTTCTTCCATTTGCAAGCTCCTCAGTTCCCATTCATTACTACTTACGTTAATCTCTCTTTCGCTTAAAGGACTTTTCCTGTTGCATCTTCCTCCAGTGTTCCAAGTCCCATTCTCAAAATGAGCTGGTGAAAATGTCCTGATGAGGGTAACCCTCACCTTGCATTTCTTGCATCGATTAATATGATTTAATGCGGATCGAAAAGCCATCTTGAGGGCGAAGCCAACACCATAATCTGTCACATTGGGATTATTGCAATACACGCATCCAACAACACCAGTGCCATCATGTAGGTAAATTGGTCGGAAGAACCAATGTGCATCTGAGATTATAACATAGTCTAGAGCAGGAAGATCTTTGCTCCATTCTTCATCAATTTTGTCAAGGTGCAAGTCAAAAATGCCAGATGATGAACCATTGACCACTCTTTCTTCACCAGCTACAAGGAATTTCGTCCAAAGGATCATGAGAGTGAAGTCATGATCGGGAAAGTACCATATCCGTTTCCGGTCTTCTGAATCTTTGTACTCATCTTTGGGAGTTTCAACCTACAAAAAGTTTGCAGTTCAAGCAATTCAGACTTTAAAATCTCAAGCTGTTTGAATCAATTATTTTTAGTTGTCAACTATCATACAAATTGGAAAACGGGCACAGTGAAATCAGTAAAAGGGTGCAGTAGAAACTGGACAAAATTACTGTTCGTTTGTTGTCCAGGGAGGAAGAATTTGAAAGAAATAAATTAACAAAGAATAACAATAAAAAAGCCACTAACTAATTTTGACCTTCATATAATCTAAACATTTCCAAGTCAACATTTATTATTTAAAAGAATATTAAATAAATCAACCTTGCTCAATCTATTTGGTCCTAGATTAATTTACAATTAAGACTTTAATTCTGGAGTCGGCAATTAAATTTTCTTTACAAAGAATGTCATTATATAAGACAAAAACAATATTATAAATGTTTAAATTTGAATTTAAAATTTATTAAATAATATCTCGTGATTATATAATTAATTAAGTTAAATTTAAGATCAAGAATACCGACGAATCAGGCAATCATTCCCAGCATCTGTACGGACCAGTTGAATGTGAAAATAGTATTTTCTAATTGCAAAACTATTGATAAACTAGATTGACGGTGTTTGTTCACTGACTTTGTCTGCTGAAACACAGCAATTTCAGCCATTTGAGAGGGACCCGCTCTTTATAATTCTGACTTCAAATGCACAAAATGCTCTGGATGGCCGTGAAGTTTGCCAGCTTCATTGCCTCAGATAAATTCATCAAAACCACATAAAATTTTCCCTGTTATTTTTTCTTTCATACTTTGCACAGCAGAAAATTACATCTAATTCAATTCAATGTAGTGAAAAGTTTCTCTTGGTGAGTCAAATAAATGGGAACTTTTAAACCCAGTAATCTATCAGAAACTAGAGAATCAAGCCAGGTTTTTACTACAATTACTGCTAAGAAAAACTCAAAAATCAATTTGCAATTTTAGACTGCAAAATTGACGGAAACTAGGTAACTGATTAATTCTGAATCCTCAGGGAACATTTTCAGCCTTCTGATATGATTTTAAATTCCGTGGATATGAATTTATTACTCTTCCAAAGATAGCAAAACAATAAATGTTATTGCCAACTCCAGAATATTATTCCCAACAATGCCTTGAGCATCTTTGGTATTTGCATTTATACTTGTAAAGGAATCAGAACTCAATCAGGGCACGCAAAGGATAAAGGAATCAGGATGAAATTCGAGGGGAATTATCACCAGAATAATGTGAAATTATGGTGCCTAAACAGTGCCTGAGAACGGAAAGTTCTGAAAACTGACCTTTGACAGGAGACAAAGAAGGGACTCCATGTGGTTCCTGGCGACTGAGTCACCAATGAATGCAAGTTTTTTTCCCTGAACAAATTCCAGGAATGTCTTAGGATCAAACCTGGGAAGATCACATTGGTCAGGTTTCCATCTCCAATTCAGAAAATCTGTGTCTTTTCTTCCATGGTGGAAACAATTCTTTGAAGTAGGAATTGTGGTGCAACTTGAGTTTGTATATTGAGACCCTTGGAGGTCAGGTATCCAATGGCCCTTAAACAAGTCACAGTTCAAAATCTCACCATGATCATCACCTAAAATACCAAAAAAAAAGAAACAAAAGTCAGAATCACACCCAAAATTTTATATAGTGAAAAGAGAAGGAGAATTGAGTTTACCTTGATCAGAGGTCGTATTATTAGGAGGTTTGATCAAGGCAAGTCTTTGATCAAGGTCATGTTTGGATATGTCATTTAAAGGGTTTGGAGAATAGAGGATGAAGAGTATGAATATGACAGTTACAACAAGAGAAGACAAGAAAAATGGAGGGAGCATCCCCATGTTTAGGCATCTCTCTTTTTTGTTATAGTGACGTATTTTATCTGGGAAAAAAGATGATGTAGAAGAAGGTTTCATGTTCTTTTATTTCTCGATGTACCACCAAACTAATAAAAGCGAGGGAATGAAATGACAGAGATCAGAAGGGTTTTTCGTGATTTTATGAGTTCAATATCTGGAGAAAAAAAAAAAAAAAAAACCCTCCCCCATTAACTAGTTGTAATCTGGTGATAGGAGGGTCAAAAAGAACCTGCCTTTGGTGGAAAGGAAAAATACTAGCCATCCGATCTTAGACGTGGCACCATTGATGAAGGGGGACAGTGCATGTGAATTTTATGTAGTAGGGCCCCCATGTTTAACCTGATTTCACGGCGCAAATCCCTTTTGAAGATTTTGGAGACTCTCCATTTTCTCTTATTTCCGCCCTCCATCTTTTAACCCCAACACGATCAAGGACCAAGAAAAGTTTCATGTCCAATTTGAACATGGAAAGTCCAAAAAGGTCTGTATTCATCATGTGCAAAGCTTGTTTTTAGATGCAAAGGCCCCATAAAAGAATGTGACAAGTGCACTTTCATGATAGGGTTTTCTCAGCCAATCGTGCTTCCAACCACATTAAAATTGGTGAAGACAAAAGTGACCAATTCAAAAATTTTATCATTATTTTCACCAATGAGCCACTAAATCCAATGAAAATCAGCATAAATTTTGGAAAATTTTCATTTACTTGGAATTTCCAATGTATGATTATGTATAATCCATTCCATAAATTACATTCTGTTTATGTCAATATCGAATTTGTGGTTTTTAAAATAAAATCTTAAATTCTTGTTGATGGAAAAAAAGTTAATGAAATGATTTTAAGAGTCATTATTTTTTTGTACTTCAATGCGCTTTTTATACATTGGTGAAAAAGGAACTGATCAAGGGTCCCGACAATGGAGCCCAATGAACAGGTACAAAGAGAAGAACCAAAACTATCAGTCATTCAAGAGTCACGTCTTTACCGACATTCTTTTATTAAGGCAAAGGTCATTTGCAAGATCAAAGTGAATTTTTTTTTTTTAAGAAGAGGAGGGATAAGAAGAAAAAAAAAAAAAAGAGTTGAACGAAAAATATTATATAGATAACATTCATCTTTTAGTTTCAATCATCAGCTTTAATCTTTAATAACTTTAAATATAAAAAAATATATATTAATCAAGATAAGTTCAAAATGCATATGCATATGAAAATTGTAATTATTTAAAAAAATTTGACAACTTCAAATATAAAAAAATTATTAATCAAGATAAGTTTAAATTATATATATAATAGTTGTAATTATTTTTTAAAAAAATTGGATAAATAGCTTAATGGGAAAAACCACAAATGCTTAAACCTATGATTGTTATTTATATCATTATTTATTCAAAAAAAATTATAATAAATTTTATGCCATTTTTTATGTCGAGTTTAGTGTTGATAGTCGAGATCTTGAAATCACATAAAAAAAATTATTAAAAGTAAAAATAAAAAATATTTTTTATATTTGTATTTTGATATTCAAATAAAAAATTAAAATAAGAAAAATAAAAAAAAATTAAATCTTTTATATAAAATCTGAATAATTTTATTTATAAAAAAAATAAAAAATTTATAAAATAAAATAATGACGTGTTATTAAATATGTTAAGTTGACTTAACGTGTTAAATTACTTTAAAAATTAAAAACATCCCTAATTATATTATAATAATTTTTAATAAAAAAAATAAATTTACCCTCTTGACAAAAAAAGCCCCCAACACCACCAAAAGTGAATTGCAGGGAAAAATAGTGTGATAGCTGCTGTTCATCCCGACCTCCAAAAAGTGGCGGCTAGCTAAAGTTAAATCTTGAACATTATTGGTACGGCCTGAACCAGTTGCCCTTGTCTGCCTTGGCGGTTGACGTTCAAAATTATCATTGTTCTGACACGATGAAAATCACTTTCGCCATGCATTTAAAGGAAATTTTAGTAAAAAATTATCATTTTTTTATATCTCAACCTTGATAAAAAAAAAAAATTGTTCTAGAATTAAACAGAGATTTTGATTTCTTCTCCATGAGGAAAGTTTGGGACCAGAATACAAGTTTTACAGAATGGCATGTGAGTTTCTGTTTCATGTCTGAACAAAACAAAGGCCAAAATGCTTATTTGGGAATCTCAGTTCTATCTCATTAATTGTCCATAAGTCAACCAACCAGACAGCTGTTTTGTTGTACAATACAATGAGCACATGAATTCGCATATGAAACAAATTATCTAGGCTATATGGGACAAACTATAAAGTCATCATAGATTTTTCTCCTCCACTACCCAAAAGAAAAGTGTCAAAGAAACACCTTTCCTGACAGCACCTCCCACCCTTTTAAAAAAATTTTCTGGGTAAAACCCATTTTCAGAAAAAGAAAAGCATATCTATTGCTGTTACAGTTGAGCTCATGGGTAACTGAAGTATAAAAAATGAGAATTTGCGAGAATTTTTGGGATATTGACAATTTTCAAGGCTATTCACATGAGGAACCTGGAGAGAATTTACTGAAGGGCGTCTAACATAGGCAAAAGCATTAAACAAGGGTATAATTACTTCTATTCTGGTAGCAACAGCTTTGCCCTCACCAAATGGCGACTCATAAGAAGTCAAACCCTGCTGGTTGTTAGCAAGAAGCTCAGCAGCAGGTGAGCCTTTGGTACCAGTAAGGCAGTATATGGCATCAACAGGCCAAGGTTCATAAAGAATGGCACTGAGTACATGGACATACTCTTCTGTTGGAATCAAGTCCAATTTTGTTCCCTTTGATACATTCCATTGAGTTTCAATCTTTCAATCTCCATACCATTAAGTCCTGTTGCTTACTGGTAACCATGTAATATAACAGAGCAATCCATTAATCACTTGCAATTTGTGCTAGTTCGGACAATATGCAATCCAAATCAGATAAGAAAGCCATGGCTAACATTCTGACATAATTCCTCAGACCCTTATAGCCCTTGAAGCGCAGTTCCAGAAACTTGGGTTTGATGTTCTTTTCATTTTCCGCATTAAAAGACGACCAGTAATGGTTCAGTAGGAAAGAAGTAACTTTTATCTCCGGGTGAAGATAATCCCTGTAGATTGACAATTCCAATGATCAAGACGTACTAGAATTTGCACACAGGCTTGAAATGTACAAGACATGCTGCAGGGATTCTTAATAGGATGTCAAATTGAACATCTGGATTGACTAATGGTCAGTTCTGTTGACAAATCTTAGGCTTTTTCTTCAAAATCTTGATGTTCAACACTTCAACCTCTTCTTTGTAATAGTAGCTGATATGGGGTTTTCTTGGCCCGATGTTTCTGTTTCTGTCAGACTTGCTGTCCCATCAACTCCCATTAATTTCTTAACGATCGTTCTCTTGTACTTCCAAAGAGTTAAGGCATTGCCTATTCCCTTTCGAAATTGGAGAACCAGAAAGGCTTTGCTCAATTTTTTTCAAGCATTATTTGTTTTAAGACTCTGATGAAGACTGTTATTGTTGCCTTGGTGCCAATAAACAAGAGTAATCACATGAAGAACCTGGGGGAAATTGCAAAACTATTTTCTGCAATAGACAAAAGTTGCATGCCAAGGACTAAAGCCTTTGATCTTAGCAGTAGTTGACTTGATCTTCACCAATTGCAACTTGTAGGTAACCAACCCCTCATGATAAAAAACAATCAACTCAATAGCCTGTAAGCTACTGGTAGTTAGTGGCAGCAACAGCCAACAGGCCAAGTAGTCACATAGAAAAAGAACATGGAACAGATAGGGATACTAATATTCCGAAATCAAGTCTAGTTATGCGATGCTTTCTGTTGCAACCCGTCAATCCAAGTCCTCTTGCTTGTTAATAAGCATGTAATATAGCATTAATTGGAGTTATGCCATTTTCTATATATTTTTTTGGATAAACTGAAATTTCGTTTACCCAATACTAGCAGGAATCTGCTGCAATACAACTGTTCTACAACTTAACAATCAAAGAAAGACAATTAATAGGCAGTCTATTCTAAAAATCAACATTCAGGTTCCAATCTTCACTACTAAGTTGTTTGTTTACTATATCTCCTGCAATATGATCCAATCCACGCAACCTATATCTTACAATTTCCTTGACTCTGTCAACCATTTGTGCTGCTGTCATCTCCCCTTGCCTGATAATCCTCTGGTTCCTTTCCCTCCATGTGAGATAGATACATGCATTCCAGGCAATTCTCAATAAGGTTGAGATCAATTGCTTTCCCTTTTAACCTGTTCTCTACCCAGCTCAGCTCTGTGTGCCAACTTCCTACCCTTCTATCAATCCTGCATAGCTGGAGGATCTTCTGCCAAACTTCTTTTGTATAGACCCACTCAAAGTAAACATGGTCCCTTGTCTCATCTTCATTGTGGCATAAGTTGCATCTACTATCAATTTCCATTCCCCATGATCACAACTGCCCTTATTGGAAGCCTATTCAGAATAGCCATCCAAGTTATCAGCGAATGTTTTGGGAAGTGGTACTTGAACCATATTAATTTCTGCCATTTCACTTTCCCTTGTTGTGGTCTTATGCTCTGATCTCATTCCATACCATGGCAGTTTCATAACGTCCCTTAGGAAATGGCCATACCAACACATCATTTTCCTTTTTGATGAATTTCTGCGCAATCTGCCTTATTTGAAGCAATTTCCTCCAGTTCCAACTACTAGTTTGCTGGGCTGCTGCTTGCCATTTTCTATATTGGATTAGTGGACTTGGCGTTTTTTCAAATTTCTCAGATTCATTACTCAGTGGAGTCAAAGCTTGATTCACATGTGCTACACCCTTCAGAAACTCGTTTGTGTTTAGCACTAGCAAGCCAATGCAACTTTTTGTTCGCACAAATGCATTCTTCTGATATCTTCTCATGCTTTTATGATGTATGCATCTTCCTCCATGATGGATAGTTGACTAATTTAACAGCATAACATTCATCACAGCTACTATTTTTGCTTATATAGTGAACCATTGCATGAGGCTAAGATTCGGATAAATGTAGTCAGACCCTTGTAAACTTTGAAATGCAGCTCAAGATATTTGGCTTTTCTGTTCGTCTTTCTCCATACCAATAGACCCGTAA